TATGTGTTCCCCGTCCCTCCCCCCCCCCGTGCAAATGTTTAAAACAACACCATCATTACCACCCTGGCTTCTGGACAGAAAACAAGAGTTTTTCTAAAAAGAAGGAATAAGAAAACATGCAAAATCCATTGATTCTTTTGGTCACCTAACATGAAACTGGCATGTAAATGAGCTACAATACACTGTATTGTATATCCAGTATCTATAGACACATTCAGTTCCCATAGATTTATTTTAAAATATAATAATAAAAATAATAGACCTTGGTAATTCTAAGAAGGTTTTAACTCTTACAGATGGTCAGGAATTTTTCAACAAAGTATTTTTTGTCAGAAATGCTGATTTGTGGAAACTGCAACTTTTTGTGAAAACAGAAGGTTTCTCAGCTCTACAATTGAAATTCTGGTAAAAAGCAGAGAGAGAGAGAGAAGCTCCTACTCACCTGGGAGACACACATTTGAGTCCTATTCCAAATGAGCCTGAGCATGGACTTAAACCTGGATCTTCTACATCCTAGATGTGTGACCTAATCACTGGGCTATTAAGTATCTGTCTCTTTTGTGTGAGTGGTTGTTTTTGTGAAAAATTTCAAAAGGTCTAGGTTTCATTCCAATGCAGAATGAAAGATGTTGAAACCTCAAAATTTTCATGAAACAGAATTTTTATTTTTCAGCCATCCCTACTAACTCAATTTTCAGTCTGTAGACTATACTAATTGTTCCAACAATCTGAGCAGAGAATAAAATGCCTTTTGGGTTTAGCAGTGTCAGTGTAAGAATATGAAGATCTGTGTATTGACTTGTTTATGTCTTCAAAGCTTTTAGCTGCTAAAAAAAAATCTTGATGAAGTGTTTGAGCAGATCAGAAATCCCAAAAGCAGAGATAAAATAAGGACTATTTCTTGTTTACTTCTGTTCATTGCAGATACCTTGGGGTTCAAGCTGATCCAGTTTTTTTCATTTGAATTGCTAATATCCCTTTTGAAGTGGTGAAATAATTGACTACAGTGTCTGTCTATATTCTGTTGTTTATGAAATGCTGCATCGTAACTGATGAAAGCTTCTTTAAAAAACAAACAAACCTAAATTAAAACATTCCTAGAAAGATGCAAGTAATTTCCAAAAAACAATCCTTTAGTGCACCATAAGAATGAAAGTTTTAATCTTATGCTTTCTATTCCATGTAGGTTGGAATATGCATACCAATCCAGTTTAATTAAGTTTAATCATGTCATAGCAGTTACAAGTTCATGCAGGTTAGGCTTTTTCACTCCGATGTGCTATAAAAACAGAAATGATCTTTAAGAAATCCAGACAAACTCAAAGAAAGATATTGATGTGAACCATAGAATCCAAAGATAGAAAAGACTTGTTAGGTCGTCTAGTTATCTGCCTGTCAGTACAAAAATGTCCCCTATTGTCCATTTATTGATAGACTAGTATAATTATCTATTTCAAACAAGATTTGAACCCCATGTTTGGTTAATGAATCATTCATTAGCAAGTCTGATTTTCATAAATGTTTTTGCTCAGGGATAAGTTAGAAAAAGCAAAGGTATATGTATTCTTGTAATCTCTGCCCACAAGAGATGCTTCTCATAGTAGATGGTGGAGATGTTCAAAATATTATTATGCATGCTTTCTGTGCTCCTTGGGCATGGCTTGCCCTCAGTGGGACCCAAATACACCCAGGGACTCTGCAGGTCTCTCTGGGTTTGGCTTCTCCTTGATGGGACTCAAGGGCCCTGTTTGGCTCCTCTTGGCTGAGGCTCCTTGGGTATGAATCCTTGATGAGGGTGGATGGAGAAGGCAAAAAAATGACAGTAACCTCCCAACTCTCTCGCCCATGACACAATGAGCTGTCACAGAGTAGATTGTGAAGATCTTCCTAACTTGAACCTTCCCCCCCCCCTTTTTTTTTACATGATTTGAGGAACAGTGAAATAGTTAATAATGTTAATTTTTAAAGTATTAGTATTGGGCAACAGAGTTAGCACCCATTGAAACGAACAGGGCAGATCACAGCTCTTAGACTTATTGTTTCAGTTTTTGCAAATGTAGGCAGAGATCATAGCATCAGTGAGATTCAGGTCATGTTTCTGAGACTCTCTCAGCTAGACATTTTTTTTTTTTTAAAGTAAGCTTAGATTCTGGAGAACAAGAAGTCAGCATGAAATAAATGCAGGCATGCCCAAATGCCAGGTACTAAGCCCATTCTGGGCCCTACATGTACTATTCAAAAGTACATTGTTGTGCTCAACGATTTTCATCCTACAGAGTATTTGTGAACTGATTGCTTCTACTGTTTGCTGTTCAACACTGATGTTTTGTGAATGGTGGTATTCTATTCCCTGGATTATTAAAACCCTTGAAATGGGAGACCAACACCAAGCACAAAAAAATAAACAAACAAAACCCTTCCAGCACAAATATTTGGATAAATGAACATTTGTGCTAAAATTTGTGAAACTACTTGAATTTGTATTTTCATGAGTATGTGGTGGTTAGCAATGAGTATTTGGACAACTAATCAAATGGCCCTCCAAGGATCATAGCAAACCAAACATGACAATTTATTTGTGAACATTTTCACAAATCAATTTGCTTACGAAA